GAATGTATGTAATTAGCACAGTTACATTCCGTTAAGGGGCTCACCTAGAGTGATGTTTTTAAAATACCGATTTATCTCATATTTTGGCAGTTCTCACCTTTAAAAATTATATACCATAATTTTAAATGAATATTTTCGAGTTGCAGGATTCCAAATTTAACCTGTATGCTTCAATGAGCTCTATCAGTTTATATTTAGACGCGGATTTCGATTTATATTTCGAATAGACTGATTACCCGGAGCCACAACCCGTTTCTCGATCTCATTAAAAATTTAGTTTTGGCAGGCACAACAAAAACAAAAACAAATTATTGGGTAAAATGAAACTTCCACTTTGCCAGTCTCTGATTTTTTCCGAAAGTGGGTAATTTTTCGAATATTAATTCCTAGAAAGATCTGTTTTTAGGATTCATCCATGGAGGAGACTGGATTCACTTCAATGCAAGACTCGAAAAATATTAAATTTTTTCATCAAAAAAGTTACTGAGCGTTCTTAAAATATGTATAAATACAGCCGTTTCTTTTTCAATTCTCAAAAATCGCATTTTTAGGCTGTCACACCAGGTGTGCCCTTTAATTCGACACTTTATTTCAGTTTTTAATTGCAAAATGTTTGCAAAAGCTTAAATCTTCAAAAAGCGCGTGCTGTTTCGCCGGAATTCGCGGTCATTATTACAGACCTCGAACAAACCTTGAACACTTCATTTAAAAAAATGACAACATCTACTCCAAGGAGAACATACTACAGCCTAATCGTAAACAATATTAATTCTATAGAAAGATTTAGAATTTCAGCAATAATTCCAGTTTTCATTACACCAATGATATGCGAAAAAATAAAATTTAAAATAATGATTAAGCAATTAGTAATAAGTTTGGCAATGAGTATGTGCTCATTTATGACTTGTAATATAAAATTGCATTCATACATATAAAATGTGGAAAGTACACTCGTTCCAGTTAGCTGTGATAGTGCAAACGTGAAATATCTCTACACAAAATGTTCGCTGACTCACCTCACGGGGGGCGGCGAATAGCGTCCATCCACCTCGTCACTTTCGGCCTCCTTCTGTTCACCGTGTATGACTGCTATGGCGAGCCGCAAGCGCTCAGCGTATGAGGTCGCCTTCTTTGCGCTGTTGGGATTACGCGCCACAATCACCGAATTGCGATAGTCAGGGATCTGCAAGAGTGTTGTTGGTATTTACTAAATTCTAAAGTCTTTCAACAATTTCTGCTTTAAGTATACGTCTCGATGACTTAATACTTGCTATGCTGCCACTAATTTTCAATACCAATAACAATAAAACACTTTCCATAAGTATAGAAATAATGAAGGAATGAACCAATAATATTGCAGAGAAAATGGCAGTCATTTAAATGTCGAATAATTTACTTATCTTTCCATATAAATATATTTTGAGGTTTTGAAATTTCTTAGCTAGAGTTTTAAGCTAAAACGGTAAGTGAAATTAAATGGTTACAGTACAGATCCGTAGAAGTCTATTGTTATCGTTTATAACAGTAATGAAAAGCCACATGACACATTTGGGTTAAACAATTGGTTATTTTGAATGCTTATTCTGATTTGCTTTCTTCGGATTTCTCAAGCATTTGGTTTGAACAGCAGACTAAAAATGTCCAAAATTCCCGGCTCGGAAAGGAATTTGTGCTTTTTACACTGCTGATCGCGCCAAATTAGATTGTTTCTAAAATAACCGAATTGTGACTTTCGAAATCATAAATGGAAACTGTATGATACGAAATTCACGAGTCAGCAATATTTAGAAACTATATTTGTGTGTTGATTCCCTCTAACTCAATTCCCTGCCTATATACAACAAAAGTATTTGTGCAAAATTGTCCAAGCTAAAAGAGAATGTTAAAAAACTGTGACAGTCCGAATTTCGATATCGAAAACATACGGTTATGTCTAAATTAGATAAAGCTAATAAGTAATTGAAATTAATTATTTCATAGTTTACAAGTCTGTAAAGAAATAATGAAGAACAGAAGATTAAGTTGCATAACAGTTATCGGTATGTTGGCTAAAAGAAATCATCTTAATTTACATCTAATATTTATCTTTGCTTTTTCCAAGTCAATACGATTTCGCATAGTTCTGATTTTAAAAAAGTCTTCATATCAGCCAAAGGAAATGTAATAGCTTGTGCATGAGCTATCGTATTCAGATCTATAAAATATCAAAGTGGCAGTTGAGGTTCTTATTTAAAAAATATAAAATATTTAAATTAAAATTATAATTCTGTTAAGTGCTCAGTTATAATTCGAAAACATTTCAATACCAGGGAGTTAGATATTCTATATACATATCTAGAATTAAAATTAAAATTTTACGACTTTTGGAAAACTAAACTTTTTCAAGTTGCTAGCCAATATAAAAATAGCACAACTTAGTTTGCACTTAATTGCACCATGGCTATAATTAGATAGGAAATTAATCTATGCCAAGCATATATACATATATTTCTCGGTTCTTTAACTAGCCAATAAAGTGCAAGATTTCGGGGATAATTAAAAAAATGTAATTAATATTCGTTAGCTTCAAAAAAGATTAGGCAATTTAAAGCTATTGACACTAATTTTATAAATATTCTGATCTAGCTAAATACTCTAGTGGTACACATTTAATGTAATATCAAAAATTGCACATACACTCTCCTGTATATATTGCAACAGAAATGGTGAAGCGCGCAAATTATCGACTGGTATATCGAAAAATCCTTGTATCTCTTTTTGGTGCAAATCCATTGTAATAATATGCGTTAAGCCGGAGGTGCACAGCATCTAAAAATGCAAAAGCATATAATAAAAGGAATAATGGAAGCGTTAATGAATTATGGCGAAAAGTGTTGGAATGACCTGACCAAAAAAACAAAAAAGGAAAATTATTTGTTAAACGGAGTTGGCATTGCGAGGCAAGTTTATATATGTGTGTATGCTATATTTGTACGTTTAAATACACACATTTTAGCACAATAAGTTGCTAATTAGTAGTGTTTGCTGAATTAACGTTGAATGAGAACAATTATTATTTTAGGTTTAACTTGACACTTGACAAACAGAAGGAACAGTTTCAAATACATACTTATGTTCTTTTTCGCGGCACAATATTTTGTGAAAATATTAATGTTTTTAAGAAAATATGTTAGCATAAACCAAAAAGGAGAGTTAAATGTGTGAAAATCAAATTCAAATTGGCTGCTCAAGAAATTTTGCACTGCCCTGCACTTCCCACCACCTAACAACAAACGAATATCCAACACTTTTCTTTTTCGTGAAGCATGTAGAAACCTTCGCCAACAACTTCGACACGATACAACCGCGTTTACGCATTTTACATTGTTTCGAGTACGGGAGATATGGTATAACGCCAACTATGGAGCGCGCCGAAGATGTTCTGCAAGCATACGCCATAATCAGCAGTTCCATGATGTTGTTATTGGCATCTCTACGGAAGTATGGAGAAATCATTGGACAAACTAGTTAACGGAAATGTACTATGTAAACTTACTTAGTGCCAGTTTGTATGATGTAGATGTCTTTGCCGCGCACCGAGTCGCCGATCTCCACCATCGTTTCGCGATTCGTTTTGTGGAATACGGAGCAACCGCCGCTCTTTATGCCCATGCGCTCGGCCACTTTATTGGCTAGATCTGGATGTGAGTTGCCATGGATCAGCACAATATCCGAAGCGGATGACGTATCCATTTCGCTTCTGCAACGCTTCGGTGGACGCACGCTGCCCAATCTGTAGAAATAAGAGTAGAAAACGTTAGAATTTCACAACAATGCCATTTCTTCTACACAATCAATAACGAGCAACAGGAGTAAAGCGGTGAACTCAATATGTGGTGTATTTTTATATTTCTGGTTATTATCTATTTACAACATAATGCGCGACAAATTATGAATGGATGTCTTTCTAGTCACAATGTTTACTCTTGGATACACTACAACAAATGCAATGCCACGCTGGCTCATGGCACATGCCAAAGCCATCGAAAGTCAAAGCCAAAGCCAATAAGAAATGTCAGAGGTAGGTCAATAAAATACATGGAGGCGACTGTGTCGAAGTCAAGCACATACATAAACACACCTACATACCTATTCCAAACAATCATTCTCTTCTGTGTGGGTGCGCCGAAGCCAATGGGTGTTTGATTGTGCCGCTCTTTATTACATGAAGGTCACGTGCACGAGCAGCACAGGATAATAAGAACGTTTATTAGTTTATGTCAATATGCCACGGATATTAAGTGTTACATAAATAGCACAATAACTTCACAAAGAGTAGCAACTTATTGCTTTTAATTTCTTTAAGAAAACACTCGTTCAATGGAAGGCGTTCCTTTTATTTGGAAGCACACTTACAGCACTAGTACCAAGGAGACATGAACTAGCCAAGTCAATGGCTGTCATGGTTACAGTTAAGCACATGTTTTATATTGGAAACTTCGACTTTTCGCCTATTATATTTATGTATGAGAAAATGGAATATTTTTGAAATCTTAGATAAAAAAAATAAACTCGCTCACAAGCCCATAGTGCAATCTGTCAATAAATTAACTTAATTTAAACAAGCTCTGTTCAACGATTTCCCTATATATATAAAAATCTTGCATATATCATGCAAAAACCATGAATTCATTATAATATAAGGTCCATGATCGTGTTACTTGAAAGCACGCTTTTCTTATGAAGAAATATTTTTCAATGCAAATGTCAAGTAAACATTGTCGTTTTTATCATGACTGTTTTGTTTACATTTTAATTATTTTAATCCATTGATGATTTAATCTAACAGGATTCAGTTATCGCTCAAAAACGCATGTTCATTGTGAAATTTATTTTAATTTACAAAAAATTAACAAAACAGCTGATTTTGACATTACGAGTTAAAATGCTTTATACAATTTATTGTTTTTTGGCTATCGACACAATTTTATATATGTATGTAATTGAATATAATTTGCAAATTGAAAAAAATCTGATCACACATTCTCAGAATGACCTCTAGTTCCATTGAGGCCAGTGTTTCCTCGCAAGGAACGTTGTGTACCAAGCTTTAGTCACGCACTGTATATTCAAAACAAAACTAGTTTCTGCAAACAAAACTAATAAACAATGCCATAAAAATGAAATTAATGGATTTTTGAGATCAATCAAAATTCATCAAGTTCCAACGAACATCACGCACCTTCTGCCGAACGAAGGTAGCGCTATTGTGTTAGCCAAACTACTAGCCAAAGCGTGACTGGGCCAATGTGTAAGCAATTAAATTGCTTCGTTAAAAGTTTGCTCCAGTCATGATACTACAGAACTTGCGCTTCGCACTGCACAGCATAGCACACACACCCATAGAGCGGACCTATTAACGGACGAGGTGGAGACTGTTCAACTTTGAAATAAAGACGCTTATTTATTGTGTTTAATACACTGACTAGCGCAGTACACGGTGAAATGCAACAATAGTAACTAAATACGAGCAGTCACCAAGAGCAATGGAATGCGAGCGAATACCGACACTTAGCCCACATATGTGAGGGGTAACCAAGTGACGTTGCGCTGGGCCTGAAACTTTCAATATCGACCAAACAACGCCACTCACCGAGAAAAGACATAGTCGTGCGGTCTGTCGCCTGCCTTTGGCGTGTATGTTGCGTGAAGCTGTCGGAAGTGCAACTGAAACTGGCACAAAAGTGCAAAACCCCCTTAAAGTCAAACGTTGATTTGGTTATCCTGCGGTCGCGATCTAATGCTGGCGCTGCAGCCACTAAGCAAGAGACGAACACTTCACGAAGGATAACTGAGTACCTGGCGATTGCATTTGTACAAATCTATATGAGTCTTAGACAAAGCGCATAACCGCACACGTGATTTCGGCAGCACGTTGAAAGGTGGTACGAGCTTGGTGTTCGGTGGTGCGCGTTTGTGAGGCGTTGCGGCAGTTATTTTTAGCATAAAATGCTGACAAATATATGTGCTGAGTGAGTGCGAAAAAATGCAAAATTAAAATTTACGACTAGCACGCGAATTCATAAGTCAAGTGGCGAAAAAATCTTTTGCTTAGACTGAAGAGGCCTTTCATTTGCGGTTGCGGCGGTGGCAGTGCATCCTACTCCTGCTCCTCGAGAGCGTGTCAGCGTGCCAGGGGTATTGAGGAGCGCCTCCGGCACGGTGTTATGTCCAATAAGTAAATTAAATTCAAAGAAAAACAAATCTCAAAGTGGCATGTTTTAACACTGCGATGGCTTAGACTAGGTATCAAAGGAAAATGGGTGATTCAGGTGAGTTTGCAAACGGTCATTGTAGAGGTATAAAAAATACAATAAATAAATTTACATTTTTTCATGAGTACAATATTTTAATATTAGTTTAATTAGTCATATAAATCTGAAATCACCAAATTACTAATTTTGGTGCAAGGAAATTTCATGAAAACCTTGCGAGTATTCCTTTACAGTTCAAGCTAATAAATAGGCTAGAATCGATGTATAGCGGAGCTGTCAATTTGATTAGGTTGTAAGTAAACCAATTTTTTAGTTCAAACCTTAAGAAATAAATCTTCAAAAATTTTGTAAAAACAATAGAGCGGAAAAAATGTGGAAAATATCCTCTTTGAATTTATCCTTGGTCAATAAATTACTTTTCGTTTCATTCTAATTAAAATGATTTTTGGCTCATAGCAAAACAAAAAATAATATTATAATTAAACGAATTTTTTTTGTCTTCGGATATATTTTAGAATATGCTGTCATTACATGACCTTAGAAATGTCTAAACTGTTGAAAAATGTATAGATGTAAACGTTTTAACTAATAATAAAATGTGTCAGGCTAACAAAATAAAATGAATATAAATCATTTATCAGAATATTCCCATTTATATGCTTGAAATAGTATGCGTAGGTATTAATTCATTCGTAATTCGTTGTTCCTTGTTTAGGAGACATAGAGCATTCTCAGTGACATGCCAGTCAAAGCTGTAAAGATGTATCCAACTCGCTTTCTTCTTTAAAAATACTTTGATTTGCAGGCACATAACAAGGAATATAATATACATATACATATATAATATATACTGAATAGTTGGTATCTTTTTATGCTACAAATTTGACTTTTATTATCTTTAATTCATTGAGTATTGGCATAAAATATTTGCATATTTATTGAATTTTCGCACCCTATTTGCCTATAAGAAACGGCTAAACAGTCGCATAAGAGGGACTAAGAGATCATAAAAGCGATTACAGGTGAATTTCAGAAAGCAATCGCATAATGTGAAAGTGCTAAAACCGCGATAATCGGCACGCACATAGCACCTAACGGCGCTTTAACGCAAAGAAACGTTAGCGAATGCCGTGGGAGAGGCAATGTAACACTTATGCCCATTTAACTACTGACACCATTTGTATGCATATTAAGAGTGCCTAACAAGAGTCAGCAAGTCAGCGAAGAACTGATGTTGCATGCGACGTCGAGCGTGAGGGACTTAGTGCCGCATTTCCGCTGTCATGTCAGCTTGTTGCACGCGCTGCAGGAGGAGCACCTCAAGAAAACTGTCTTAACCATTGGTGCTCCACCTTATACCCAAATGCCGAGGTATGTAGATTTCTGCGTGTGTGTAGCATACACGTACGCCAGTGTTGGAGGTTAGAAAATCATAATTGAAAAAAAAAAAAAACACCTCTTGAGGTTGGTTATTGTTTTTGGTGGTCGCTTATTGAAGTGGCTGCTAATTCCATGGAGGTTAGATGAAGTTTAGCCGAGCTGCTTAACGGTTGTTTTCTTGGTACTTAGAATAAAGTAACACAATAGTTTTCCAAACATGATGTTCGGTATGGCTTGCGATCCTTTGAAGCATACAAGCATGTACGAGCGCATGAACGAGGGTAGAGTGAAGCGCAATTTAAAATATACATACATTATTTTCTTAAAATATTTTCATTAACTTTCTGCTCAATTCTCTTTCTACCTGTAGATAGCGAGGACAGCGATGGCGAAGGTGGTCTTGGTAATGTCTCACGCGTGATCATCCGCCCACCCGGACAGAGTGGCAAAGCCAAACGCGGGCACCTTTGTTTTGACGCTGCCTTCGAGACGGGGAACCTTGGCAAAGCCGAGCTGATTGGCGATTTCGAGTACGATTTGTTTTTACGGCCGGACACTTGTAATCCTCGCTTTCGTTTCTGGTTCAATTTCACTGTGGACAATGTGAGGCAAGATCAGCGCGTTCTTTTCAATATCGTCAACATAAGTAACCCGCGCAATTTGTTCAATTCTTCGCTGGTGCCGCTGGTGAAGTCTTCCAGTCGGCCCAAATGGCAACGCTTGCCAAAGAAGAATGTTTTCTACTATCGCTCGTTGTTGCACCAGAATCATTATGTGCTGAGTTTTGCATTCTCTTTCGACAAGGAAGATGACGTGTATCAATTTGCAGTTGCACCGCCCTACAGTTACTCGCGGCTTCAATCGTATTTGAATGTGATCGACGCCCGACAGACGGAGCAACGATTCGTACGCAGCGTGCTGACAAAGAGTGTGGTAAGAAATAATTCCAATGATCCTCCGGACTCCGGACTCCGGACTACCTTTTTAGGGTTGCTCAGCAATTAGTGTTCTTCTGAACCAGCAAATTAATTTCTTTATAATATTTTGTACAGCAAAAGCGAAATCTTGACCTGCTCACTATTGACCACGTTACCGCCAAAACAAAAGCGTCGCGCCTGGATCGCGGATTCATACGCATCATAGTAATTTTATGTCGTGTACATCCCGGAGATGCGCCAGCCTCCTTTATGTGCCAAGGATTTATTGAGTTTATTACGAGCAATCACCCGATTGCCGTTGTGCTACGCGATAATTTCGTCTTTAAGATAGTGCCGATGGTAAATCCGGACGGTGTCTTTTTGGGCAACAACCGCTGCAATTTGATTGGACAGGATTTGAATCGCACTTGGCATGTAGCCACTGAGTTTTCTCATCCCACGCTGTATGCCGTAAGGAATATGCTTAAGGAACTCGACAACTCTGACGTGCGTTCGCTAACCGTCTCAATATAAAGCTCACATTCATTCAGCAGATGTGTGTTTTTATTGCAGATTTATCAGATTGACTTCGTGATTGACCTGCATGCGAATCCCAGTTTGCATGGCTGCTTTATTTACGGCAACACATACGAGGATGTTTACCGACATGAGCGCCATTTGGTGTTTCCACGTTTGTTCGCCGCCAACGCGCCCGACTACGTGGCCGAGAATACAATGTATAATGCGGACGAGAAGAAAGTTGGTTGTGCGCGCCGTTATTTCTGTGAGCGGCTCAGCGATACGGTGAACGCCTATACCGTCGAGGTGTCCATGAGTGGTCACTACTTAAAGGATGGCAAAACTGTTGCGCTCTACAACGAAGATGGCTGTAAGCGAAACAAGTGCATAAATAATTGATCACACTCTCTCTTAAATTTTTAATTATTCATTACCCAGATTACCGTTGTGGCCGCAATTTGGCGCGCACCTTCCTTCACTACTACCGTTTCATCAATGTGTTGCCCACGCCCGTGGTATCTGAGGCGCGTTTACGTCGGCGCAATCGCCCGCGTACGCATCACTCACGTTCCCGCTCGCGTACACGATACGAAGTGAAGCCACGACCGAAGACAACGCGCTGTTATGCACCGATTGCGTACACGAACCTCTCAATTCATTACGACTCTGGTGGGGGCTCGTCCGACGAGGGCGGCTTTTCACCTACACGCCCCATAGCGCCGGGTAGCAGTCTTTTCAGTGGCTACCGTAATTACCGACGCATGCACGGCAGTTCGGCGGTGACGCACGATCAATACGCACTGCTGGCGCTCAAGTCGACGAAATACGATCACCTGGGCGATTTTGGTGGTGCTGGCAGAGCGCATGCGTATCAGCCAGCACGTGCGGCAACGGCTGAAAAGTCAGGCAAATCGGTGACCTTCGAGCAGCCGCTGAATGTGCCACCGAAGCCGTATTTATCCATTATTGATCTCAATCAGCTGACGCGCGGTAGTTTGGATCGCAAGTCGGGCAGCTTTGATGTCGACCATCGTTGACGAAAACCGCAGGGAGACGGACGGTGTGCAAGTAGATAGAATAACAAATTTTTCGCTCGAAAAATTATAGTTAAATTTCAATATACGATTTTTTAATTAATCCATTACGCTTCGTTACCTTTTCTATGCAAGAAATTTGAACGCTATTAATAATTATTATACACTTTTTGCGCAAATAAATTTTCTCTATGAAAACAAATATCTCATTAAGCAAATAAATAAACAAACGTTACGCATATTTTGTTTACTTTGAAAGTGTGTGCAGATGAGCTTGTGTGCCTGCCAATGATTGTGTACATTAAATTTAGAATGCATCTCAGAGTCGCTGCCTGTTGTGTATCTTATATACAGTTGCGGGCAAATTTTTAGTAGTGCTAGGCATTCTTTTAATTTACGTGGTACTTTTTATAAAATATTTTTTTGTCTTTTTTGGGATTCACTTTAAAATCCGTTAGCTTTAGATGTTGGTTGCTCACCCACAATGATAAAAAAATTGATTTCTGAGGGCAAAACTAATGTCGAAGTCCAAAATATTATTGGTTGCTCACCCACAATGGCACGTAACGCTATCAGGTACCAACTAAGTAATAAAAAAACGTGAAAGGAATCCAGCAATGTCGGTGAGAGTGGCCGCCACAGTTCCATGATATCAAAACAATCGAAAAATTGTGGGCAGATGTCTAGGAGTATGTAGCTGACAAAAACATGTCCACGACGTTGTGCTACAATACTAAAAAATTAAGGTCACGCAACTAAATACTCATTTCATAGAAAGACCATATCCAATTTGGAAAAAATATATAAATTTTATTAACTTTTTGTCGAAATTTCAGGTTTAGTTTGTTACAACTCCCAAGTTTTTGACCGCAGAAATCCCTTATAATTTTTTTTTTACATATGTACATATTTATTGAAATTAGCTTTTTTTTTTGTAATTTATTTTTCATACTGCTAGGCCTTTTATGGTATAAAATATATTTTTTTTATAAAGGCGGTATCGCATACTTTTTTAACAGTTCCCCTTCTACGTTTGCACACTACTAAGAATTTACCGCAGCTGTACTTACATACATATGTATACATATATGCATGTTTGGCACACTTAGATATGTACATATGTATATATGTACATACATATATAATACATGAATGCATACAAAACATTTTGGCATTTCAAGTATTGCATAAATTTATCTTCGCATATCTGGCGTTAAGGAAGCCTCAGCTGATGTCTAGTTCTTTGACGTCGCTATTCATTTAACGATCAAAAAGCAAAATAATAGTTTTCATTTACGTCGACTTGTTTATTCTACCTTTGTTGGCGATTTCTGCGTATTGCAGCCAACAAAACCGCAGCTGGTCGTAATAAATATGTATGGAATTGTATATTACGCCTCTGCGTGACGAGAGTGAATTAATTGAAATTCTCGCACAAGTCGAATATTATAAATTTAGTTTGATCCGGCTTTTGCTTTCGAAACAGATCTTTTCAGAATCAGTGAGGAAATTTCAATTGCATAGAAATTCTCGCACGACTTTTTTAGACGAATTTGTCAGGTGATGACCGAAGATTTATTTTTATTTTTTATAATTTTATAAGCCTGAAGTGTAAAATTTATAACAAAAACACCTTTTTATTGAAGCCATCGTTTAGACAATATTCAAGATTTTGACTAGTCATTCGAACATTAGCCGAATTTTACTATTGCAATACAAAATTTTCAGTTTTCAGTTTTGATCATTTTGAGCAGAAACCATTTTTCGTAGGTCCTTCTAGAGATCGGCTACGAGATCAAGAAACATTTTTTTTTAAATAAATCGGTGATTATTAAAGTATGTACATAGAATTTAATATATTGTTTTAATTTATTTCTTAAGTAAAATACGTATAAAAAACACAAAAACACGAGATCGTTTCTCAAAAGTATTTGGATAATGTTTCTGCCACTAGAAAAACAAATGAAATAAATAAACTGCCAAGGGTGAGAAAAAACATTAAAAAACCGTAAGATCCCACACTGTGTCATTGTGTTTGTTATAGTACTTAATGGGGTGAAAAAATGACATTATTCAAGAAATCGGAAGAAACTTGCCGCCTAAGTCTCTCAGTGTACGCAAAAATTGTTGAATATCACGATGAGTTTGCTATGCATATTGCGAAATGAAGTGGCGCACATAAGTACATACATGCATACAAACATTGGTATGCACTTAGAAACAGAAACAAGTGTATAAAACAAGATATTTTGAGATAATTATTATCAGGCAGACAGATGGACGGGCAGTCAAAACATGCAGCTATTAATTAATAGCTGTGTTAAGGAAGGCTGGTGGGAACGAGATTAGCAAAGCCAACACATTAACAAATGTCAACCTAGAGAATGCGATTAATCGACCATACTTGCTGTAAGCGTCGACGTATTACCGCCAAACAGTTGTGCCCCTCATTTCGTGGCATTATCTCGCCACCATGTGCTTCACTCGTAATTCCTGTCTCTATATAGAAGGGGCGTCAAAAATAAATTGAAAAAAAAACAGAACGAAACAATAACAAATATCCATGCCGGCTTGTTAGTCATGTACGAAATACACTTGCATTTGAGCGAAACAACTTTTGACTGGCTGCCAGGCGTCATATCAGCATGGATTGAGGGATTATTGTTTACTCTTGGTGTAGCTACCCGGTTGGGTTTCGGTCTCATTCACTTGGCTTTACCATTGCTGTGCCGTGTGCGCCAACACTTTTTCTCTTGTTTCTACTGCTCTGCTATCTGTATCATATTTTATCATGATGCCGAACACGTTTTTTCCTCTATTCTAAGCAACAAACAACACTAATTACGACAGTCAATGGCCACTAGGCGACAACTGAATGAGGGCCAACAAATCCCCACACTCACTTCTGCGCTTAAGTATATAAACATTACGTATACGTAACAAATTTTTATTTAGTTTTCTGTCGTCTATTTCTACCACATGCTTGGGTGATAAGTTATCAACTCTCGAACTTTTCACTAGTATAGTGGGAAAGAAATTGTAAAAGCAAAGAAATAGCGTTGACATACGGAACTTATGTCATATATGCAAAAATCTCTCATTTACTCCCATCCCCATCAGAACAGCTCGTTCTCTGGAAACCTGAAAAATTTGAATTTCTCCATACAATAAAAAATAATGTTAAGATCGTCTGGTCTACTTAATTTTAGAAATCATAATCTGTGTGATTATTTGGTTTAATATTCATTATACCATGAACAGGATATATTAAGTTTAGCTGATCTGATTTAGCCATGTCTGTCTGTACGTCGTCTAGTCTCCAAGTTTTAGAGATCTTGTTCTGAAATTTTGCATACATTCTCTTCTCTGCAAGAAGCTGCTCATTTGGCGGAATCGCTTTCCGCTATCAGACCAGAATAGCATACAGCTGCCATACAAACTGAACGATCAAAATCAAGTTCTTGAAAGGAAACATATTGTTTCACATATATTTGTTATTATTTTATGACAATACGAATTAAGCCAAGGTTGGCAAAAGTTCACTGACCATTGACTTTTAAGTCCATTTAGCGATAATTGTTCACAATGCGAAGCGCTGCACACACTTGATTCTTGTACGAATTAGATGCAAAGCCTGCGAAAAATATTAATTCATTTGAAACACTGTGTAAAAATTATCAGCAGGAAAGTTTGTATTTCAACTTTAAATAAATTTAATTAGGAGCTGCCTCCCAAATGCAGAGAATGAAATTCGAGTCAGTCGAGCTTTCATGATTTAGATTTTTCGAAAGATTTCTGGAACAGGTTGATGTACATTACCCAAAAATGTTATGTGGTTAAGAAAAGAATGAAAATTATAGATTAACTGACTTGGCTCTTAGATATTATTATTTTTAAAAATAAATAATAAATTGATATGTAATAAAATCCCACAATTTCACAAGATTAAAAGCGTTACCACTTATTACAGTATACACATAAATATGTAACTGATAAGCTGCATGTTTGTATTTAATGCACAATTGAAATGCAATGAGTCGTAAAATTGATATATTATTGACACATGTGCTCGTAGTAAATATAGTACATATTTTTCTATGTACATGTACAATATTCATGCTGTATTCTATCTACCTATTCATATTTGTTCACACGTTGAATAACCAATAATATTGAGTTAAGACTTTATTGAGTTAATGTAGAAGTCTGAGATTCGGAATAGTTGTTTTGCTTATCTTATATCTCCTATGTATTCTTAGTTCAAGTGTTAATGTTTAGGCATAGAAATTAGCACGTCTCGGCATGGAAGATATACTGTGTAAAAAAACATTTGTCTTATTTAACTAATATAGTATAAAACTGTTTTATTTTCGCACAAGTTAAAAGCAATTATATGCTTTTGTAATAAGACTTCTTCACATCACATGACAAGCAATTACACCAAGCATTAGAGCTTTTAATCACCTCTAAACGGAGACTGTCGCAACCAATTTCAACTGAAGAATTCACAAATAATTTGTATAATTTCAGGTTTAAGATTTGCCACTATCACAATAAAACGATTTCTTAAGCTTTTGTTAATTGCGTATATTCTGCTAGACTATTTTCGTTATATGTATAATATAATATTGCACAGAGGGACCACTAAAACACCAGAGCACTTGAACGCCGCACTACGCGAAGAAAAATGTAGCAATGCGTGATAACCACAAACCCAACTGATTGATAACTGTTTGCAAAACAAATTCGTTCTCGTTTGGAATCCAGCGATTAACTGATAAACGACACAACTAGAGTATAAAAATCGTCCATATTTGTATCTATACGATTGTGCATTGTGCGTATAGCCTCTTGCGGAACCAACAAGTGTACGCTTTCAATTAACAAATACACTGAAAGCCAAAGAAGCTAGCAACTAGCCTGGTGCCGGTGACCAAATCAGAAGTCAAAAGCGCCAGTAATCGAAGGGGCTAAGTAAACAGAGAACACATTTGATGGTTGAGAAAATAAGAGTAAATATATACGAGTCAACACATCCGAGCGTATTGAAACCTGTGTGCGGGAGAGCATGGAAAACGGTGAAGGCGTAAAGCTACTAAAGATAGCGCACTGTACAGCGAACAAGAAATATCAAAG